GAGCTCTCGGCAGGCTGCTGGCGCAGGTGGCGCACCTGAAGCTCCTGGAAAATTTGATAGCCAAGCAGCCGACTTGAAGTATCTTTTCATACATCGAATCAGCTGTGAGGGTAGGTAGCTGTTAGAGATTTATCACTTCAAGCTTCAAGCTCCTGAAACTTGGGCAAGATCTGCACCCTGCTAGTTACAACTATTCCCATGACACTTCTGTCACTCCTGGTTCACCTGCGGCGCGGCAGGTGCCAGGAAGGCCGTGGCGGCCGCATAGGCACCGGCGCCGGCGAGAGCCACGGAGCAAGCTTTGGAAGGCATGGCGAAGGGACGCAAAAACGAGGCGAGGCGAGATGGTCACAGAAGCTCTGAGCCGAGACGGGTGCGGGATGGAACACATCCGATTGAGCCACAGTCAAACATCTCATCTCCTATAATGATTATTAGTATATGTTAAATAGTATAAATCAAATAACAACTCGCATCAGGAACACCCAGAATGGCAGAGATGCTATCCAGTGTCCAGTTGTTCTTTTAGTGGTGTTCAGAATCCACTTGGCACCTTCCAAGCTAGCAATTCATCAAATATAGCAGTCCCCTTTCTTAGAGACTTTCACACAAGACCAATACATCCAAAAAGACATCTAATTCACCTCCGTCTATTACTGTCCCAAAGGGTTCAGGCCCATCCAAAATCGGATGTTCTTGTTTTTTCGCCCTCGTTCGACCCTTCTCCGAAGCTCCAAAACCATTATATGGTACCAGGTGGACCCTATGGATATGGGGGACCGGGCCGGTCTTCAGTCGAGCCTGACACCAGAATCCAAGGTCGTGCCTTTTCCCAGTCTCCGGTGACAATCACCCCATAGATCCACCCCCAAAAAGCGACCGAAGAAGCGTCCTCCAGGGGAACGGGCGCGGACCTGAATCTTCAGCGGACGGCTGACCAGGCATGTGGCATGTGGCGCAAAGGGGCAAACAAAGAGCATTGTACGGTGTTTGTTTGGGACATGGAAGGTTTAGAGCATCACGGGATGCCACGTTTTCACCAATATTTAATTGCAAGCTGCCACTTTGCGCATCATGCGCATCATGCGCATTCCGAACGCTGCCCAACTCCTCCGCGGCCGACTCCCCCCGGATCCGCCACCGATCCGCCACGGGAATCGACGTTCTCCGTAGCACTTCGACCCACTCCGTGAGGCCGGTCTTCCACCGAAGAAAGGGACGACGAAGGCCACGTCGAAACGAAGGACCCTTCGACCGACTTCCACAGGTCGGCACATCAGTCCGACGGTCAGCGGTTTTCTTTGGTTCGACACGCGACCAGTCTGGGACTGGCCAGGATGGACTGCCGCCCCAGACAGACCCCCAAAACAACCACCCCAATGTATGGATTCGTACGCCAGTCCCGAGCGTCTGGGTTTTTGGGCATGGCAATGCTGCCATCGAAGTTCTTCAAGCCGCAAAGAACAAGAAGGGTGCTTGAGCAAAGAAGGTCTCGATATGATTGACCACTGAGCCACTGAGTGTCAACCTACTCTAAGTACCTACCTCGATCTACACATCTCTACACTCTACCACCTCTGAGCTCCCCCTGCTCTGCAGCCTCTGGCGGATACCCTGAGGCCTCCGGAGGATGTGGCTGCTGGTACTAACTATCCACTGATGGAAACATAGATGGAAGCATAAGCCAATCCCTTCACCCAATTAGTTACCCACCGAGTGATCGACGTCGCTTCTCCGTCGAAGCTTCGATGTGCAAAGGCTCACGTCACTCATCGGCACCTGCCAAAATCAAACAAATAACTTCACCACAATAACTTAACCACCAACAAACAAATAACTTAACCACCGAACTCGACGAGTGGGTCGTGGGGCAATGTCCGCCACTCCTTGGGGGCCCCCCCACGACCACGGAGGCCTCCTCCGTCTGCATCGCCGCCAAGGAGAGCGTCGGCAGGCCCGCGGTCGAGTCCTTCTCGGCCACGTCCTGAAGGCCACGTGGATCGAACTTCAGGACTGTTTCAGTGAAGGAAAGCAGCTTGAAAGAAGCAGTGGTGACCAGGGGGGGTTGGAAGTATTGTCAACTCGTTGGTTCACTTTTCTACACCCAAACTGGATGGATCCACATATAGTTCTTGGATGGAACATGATGGAAGCTTGAGGCTTTTGGGCTTGGGATATGCTTTTGGACTGATTTGAATTACTCATTTAGGCCACATCCATTAGCCACATCCACCTCTTTCAAAGATCATCACATCTTTTCCCTCCCTCCTCAAGCCTCCAAGCCCACAGGAGTCGACAGCTACCTACAGGATCACACTCCGCCAACCTACTGTCATCAATATTAGTCACATCAGTAAACGGCCCCTTCCGCCGCACCCGCTCACCGCCGTCGCCACCCGCTCACCGCTCCTCGCGAAGCCACTCTTCTCCGAAGTCCCAGCGCAGCAGCTCGGGGTGCACCAGCCGTGCCTCGGTCCGGCGGGCGCTCGCTGGATCGAACGGACGGTAGTCGGTCGGTCTGCAGGTCAGCGGAGCGGGAAGCAGCGGAACGATATAGACAGACGTGGAAACGGAGTCCGGTCGAGTACTGCACATGGAGTCGCCCAAGACGACCGACTCACATGACGTTCGTGCCGCTCCCATGACTTTTGCTCCGATCGATGTTTTGTGACCTGTGAAGACTGGCGACATCCAAATCTGCTGCTAAAAGTTGGTGGGGACCTCAACATTGACAATGTTTCCCATGCAGGACGCGATACTTATGAAAGGGTATTGTCCATTGACTACAGCATCGAAACCAAATGAAACCAGCTTCCACCTCCTTCCCGAGTCACATGCTCCGGTCGACGTGTCCGTGTCCATGTCGGTCTGAGTTCCCATGCCCAGCAGTTCATCTGTCGGCCTTGTTTGTCCACGCCTCAGGTGGGTGCCAGCTGGGAATGAGTATTATGCAGGACCTTCAGTACGTGACCTCTTTGGAGTCTCTAAGTGATCTCTTTTGGGGACTAAGTGACCTCATTCTAGGATCTCAAGGACGGTCACTTTGAAGGTCCTGGATTTTACTCAATCATGAATGACCCAAACGCTCCATTCACAGCCCTTTGTTTCCCTCACATCAACCCCAAACCCCTGACCCCAGGATCTCAAGTGCTCTGGTCACCGGACAAATACACCCGGAAGGGATTGGAAGCATGAGTTCCATCATGGAATCGTGTGGAAGATTGCACGGCGCGGAGCCTGCCGGACATAAGTTCTCAGTCCAACACAACTAAGAAACGACTCTGAGGCAATTGAGAGCAAAAACCAACCATCTAATATATAGACGCGCATGTGTGATGTGATTTGCGATCTAAAAACATGGAACAAATCTGATCTCATGACCTCATGAGATACCCCCAAAGAACAAGTTGAGCCTGGAATGAGGTGATGAAACATGATGGACTTTCCCAGATGTCCAAACATTCCAAACTGCTTGTCAAAGCCTTTCGGCATTCTGGGGTACTGACCAGACTTTGGATGATTAGTGACGACATGTGACGACCGTTCCCTAGGTCAACTAGACCCCTACTTCCTAGCTGGGACTTCTATATAGTATGCATTTTGGGAATGGCATTCTATTGCGGGCTTACTCCCCTTCCCTAGGTCGACTAAACCCCTACTTACTAGCTTACTAGCTGGGACTTCTGCATTTTGGGAGGTCCCAAACTCCTCCACCTCCGTCTCATCGAATCGATCCGCGCGCGTGCGTAAAGACGGCTCTGCCGTGGCTCTAAGAACCCCCAGCACAGCGTGGAGAGGATGGACCTCAAAGGACCGGGGTTCGATCGGTCTCTTTTGGAGCTGCTTGCTTTGCATGGTTGGCATTGGCACATGCTATATAAATATATGTGTTCTTTTACTTGTCAAGTTGACTATGCCGTGGGCCTGGTACAGTATAGAAAACACATGTTTTCGGGATGGCTTTCTTCTCAATCCAGAAGGGGAACCTCGCAGCGGAAAACCTCCGAAACCTCGACCCCGCCGACCGCCGACCCTCCCAATGAGCCACCGGTCACCCGCTTCTGCCGGGCGCTCCGGACGGTCCCTTCAACTGGACGTCGGTGATGAGATCGTCGCAGTTCTGATCGTCGCAGACCGTCGGCATGACACGTTTCGCACGCACGCACGCACGACAGCGAGGGACAGCGAGGAGGTGAGTTCTGAGGGTGAACACATGTGAGGGGGGATGTGGAAATCTGAGGAGGAAGGGGATGCTGCTTCCGAGATGAGGGAAGCGGGGAAGGAAGCAATGAAGGGAGCTTTGACAGGGTGGCTGATTTGGGTTTCCATAAAGAAGGTCCGCGCGTCTTCAAAAAGAGGACAATGTGGAGTGGGTACATGTGGGTCTTGGATGGATCTCAACAAAGATCTCCTGCTCTTTTCAGGTCCCCATGCGCCAACGACGGTTTGGGAGAAGCGGGTCGGATGTGCGACCACGTTGGACCGGCTTGGACTCTGAACAGAGGTCTCCATCCATGAAGGTCTCCACCCTGAATTGCAATCTTCACAACCTACAACCTCCGAATCACATGTCCAAGACTGAGCTATACTCCAATTAGGCCGCGCCTTTCAAATCTGTGGATCCTGGATACTGGATACTGCGAGGCACCATGCCCACGTCCGCCCTCATGCCCTCCATGCAGTTTTCGGCGCCGAAGGGCCCAGAAGATCTTGCTCCCACGGATCGTGCCACCACTCCAAACACCTCCGCGACGAGCTTCGCTGAGCTTTGCGTGGCAGCTCTACGTAGGCATCAGCCCCCGTATCAAGAGAAACACTGCGAGGAAAACTCACATGGAAGTGGAGTGAGTTCACCACCTCTTTGGTATTCGGAATAACCAGGTAATCTTTCAAGGAGTGT